ACGATTACTCGGATGAGTGCCTTGGTAGCATTTTAGGGGATAGTGGGGTTGATCTGTCTGATGAGGGAGAGGCCCGAGAGCTCCTGTCTCTCATTCGCTCTAAGGAGATCGTGCAGAAGAGGCAGGGGCTTCTCTGGTCCCGGTCGCCCGGCCCGATCGGGCGGACACAGCAGCAGGGGCTGCACTGTCCCCCCCCCCAGCCCGTGGTCCCGTGAGGACTCGGCGAGTGGCCAAGGCGGTAACCGTTCGTGGTATCCGCCTCCGCAATCGCATAATCTAAATGCGCTTCTTCTTCTGGAACATCCGAGGCTACGGCCACGTTGGGAGGCGGGCCCAACTTAACGAGTTCATTCGCGGCGAAAACATCGATGTAGTTGGTCTGCAGGAAACCATCAAGGCTAATTTCACTCACCGAGACCTGCTCGCCATCGACCCGCTTGAACGATTCGTGTGGCACTGGGTGCCAGCGATTGGCCACTCTAGGGGTATGCTACTTGGCATCAGCCATGTGTGCTGCGAGGTGGTGGCTTGGGACGCCGGCCGGTTTTTCGTGTCGGCTCACGTCCGCCATCGTGCGTCTCTCCGTGAGTGGGAGATTATAGTGGTCTACGGCCCGGCAGATCATTCACACTCGCATGAGTTCTTGGGGGAACTTCAGGAAAAGGTTGCGGCCTTGGGTGTTCGCAACCTACCCCTCATCGTGGGAGGGGATTTTAACCTAATCCGTTCGGGAGCGGATAAGAACAACGGGATTATTAACTGGACAAGGGTGTCCATGTTCAATAATGCGATTGCTTCTATGGCCCTCAGGGAAGTGGCCCGCGTGGGCGCACGATATACCTGGACAAACAAGCAACTTTCACCGGTCCGGTCTGTGCTGGACCGTGTTTTTATGTCCGCGGAGTGGGAGATGCTCTTTCCCATGTGCTCACTTCACGCTGAAACAAGGATCGGGTCAGATCACGTCCCTCTAATCCTCTCCTCGGGGGAGGACCGGTTAAAACGAAGCCCACGGTTTTTCTTTGAAACTGCTTGGCTTGAAAACCCGGAATTTGAACAAATCTTCCTCTCCAAATGGGAGTCCTGTGTGGCCCGGATCCGGCTCGCGAGAGGGCCCATGGATTTCTGGATTTCCGCAGGGGCGGGGTTGCGCGCGGCCCTCAAAGGTTGGGGGGCCAACCAGGGTCGAGAGGATAAGCTGCTCCGAGCCCGCTTGGTGACAGACCTCGCCCGTATGGACGCGGCTGCGGACGTACGGGTCTTCTCGGAGCAAGAATGGGCCGAGCGGTACGCGGTTGAGGCCCAGGTTGAGGCCCTCCTCCGTGCCGAGGAGGAGTACTGGCGTAGGAGGGGCGGAATAAAGTGGACGCTCAAAGGGGACGCAAACACAAAATACTTCCACGCATATGCAAACGGACGGCGTCGTAAGTGTGCCATTCTGAGGTTGCAATCGGAGCAGGGGCTCCTATTGCGCCAACAGGACATAGTCCGGCACATTTACGATTTCTACATCGAGCTGCTGGGCTCCAGGGAGGAGCCCAGGGCTCACCTACGGGCGGATATCTGGGATCCCGCTCTGCAGGTCTCGGATGAAGAGAACGAAGGCTTGGGCCTCGCCTTTCTTCCTCAGGAAATCGACCAGGCGATCCTGGGAATGAAATCTGACACGGCACCCGGCCCAGATGGGTGGCCGGTGGCGATGTTCAAATTTTTTTGGCAAGTCCTCAAGGGCCCAATTTTCGAGGTGTGTAACGGGTTTATGCGTGGCACTGTAGACATCTCGCGCCTTAACTTTGGGGTTCTTTCGCTTGTCCCCAAAGTTCAAGGCGCGAACAATATTAGACTTTTCCGCCCCATAGCGCTTATCAACGTCCCGTTCAAAATCTGCTCTAAGGCTTGTTCTACGCGCTTGTCTCCGGTGGCCCATCGTATTATTAGTAGGAATCAAACGGCGTTCATTCGTGGTCGTAACATTTTGGAGGGCCCGTTGGCCCTCCAAGAGATCGTTCACTCGCTCAAGCGTAGCCTCCAGCCGGCAATACTTCTGAAATTAGATTTCGAGAAGGCGTACGACCGAGTGAACTGGGAGTTTCTCCGACAAATCCTTCTGGATCGAGGGTTTTCGGCAGTATGGGTTCACCATATGATGCAATTGGTTTCGGGAGGCCAAACGGCGATTGCGGTGAACGGAGAAGTAGGGAACTTCTTCCGCAACAAGCGTGGGCTGCGTCAAGGGGACCCAGCCTCACTGTTGCTTTTCAACTTTGTGGCAGATGCATTGGGCGTCATGCTGGACAAAGCTCGCATTGCTGGCCACATCAGGGGAGTGGTCGGCAATCTGATCCCTGGAGGGGTGTCGCACCTTCAATATGCCGATGACACCCTACTCCTTTTTGAGCCGGACACTCACAGCATAGCAACGGTTAAGGCCATCTTGTTATGCTTTGAACTTATGTCCGGACTAAAAATTAACTTCCACAAGTGTGAAGTGGTGTCCATAGGGATGGATGCGGCCGAAAGCGAACGGGTGGCCAAATTGCTAAATTGCAAGCTTGGAAAGTTCCCGTTCACCTACCTTGGCCTCCCGATCGCAGAGAAGAAATGCTCGATTGCCGATTGGGAACCTCTCAACACTAAGGTGGCGGACCGGGTATGTCCTTGGAGAGGTCGCTTTATGTCATCAGGGGCACGACTAATCCTTACTAACTCTAGCCTCTCGTCCCTACCAATGTTCGCCATGGGTATGTTCTTGTTGGCGGATGGTGTCCATAAGAAAATGGACACTCCCCGGGCACGTTTCTTCTGGGAAGGTGCGGACCCTAAACGGAAGTACCACATGGTTAAGTGGCATGCCGTTTGTAGACCTAAAACCCAGGGGGTCTCGGGGTCATCAACTCTAAGCTGATGAACATTGCACTTATGTGCAAGTGGATCTGGAAGCTGTCCCAGGGAGGGACCGGCCTCTGGATTGACCTACTTCGTGCCAAGTACTTCCCCCTTGGGAATTTCTTTGAGGCGTCTCCTCACGGGTCACCTTTCTGGACGTCCATCCAATCCCTCAAACCGTACTTCGCCAGGGGAGCGAGGTTTACGGTTAACAACGGCCGCTCCACCCGGTTTTGGCACGACGTGTGGATTGGCCAGCAACCTCTTTGGTCGGAGTTTCCCCACCTCTACGCCATCGCGGTTGAGCCCAATCAACTGGTGGCGTCGGCCCTCAGTGCCTCCCCGCCCCCCATATACTTCAGAAGGGAGCTTGTGGGACCGGAGCGGGCCGAGTGGGATCTCGTGCGGGCCTTGACGGCGACCGTCCGCTTATTGGACTCCGCAGACGAGGTCTCTTGGAGACTCTCGGGCTCTGGCAAGTTCACTGTCAAGTCCATGTACAGGGAGTTGTGCCGCGGGCATGCCCCTATGGCAGCCTCGGGGCTTTGGAAGGCGCGAATCCCGCTAAAAATTAAGGTCTTTCTTTGGCAATTATGTCAGGATCGCCTTCCTACCTCTATTAATATAGCCAAGCGCAATGGCCCTGCTTCCGGACCGTGCGCTTTGTGTCATAACGCGGAAGATGCTGACCACGCGTTTTTTCGTTGCCCTTTGGCGCGGTTTGCTTGGAGTGCGGTCAGGGAGGCCGCTGGGGTGGATTGGGATCCACGCTCACGCTCTGAGCTTGTGTCTTACTTATCTGCGATCCCGGGCTCTTTGCGCCGGATAATGTGGACGTGTGCTTCGGCCTTGCTATGGGCCATATGGCATATTCGTAACAAGTTCACTATTGAGGGAGCGTTTCCCTCCCACCCCGCTGATGTTATCTTCAAATGCATCTTATTCTTGCAGCAGTGGGCTTCGCTGGGAAGGCAACAGGATGCTGATCTTCATCGACATGCCATCCCTCGGCTCCGCTCAGTCTACTCGGTGTCCCGAGCCCCGTCGCCTCCCCCGTCTGCTGCCTTATAGGGATAGGCGGCCCTTTTGGTCCTGCTTCCTTTGAGCCTGCGTGCTCGCTATTCTGGCTAGCTATGCCATGTAACGCACTTATCACCGGTCTCGCCTTTTGGCTCTGCTTCGAAACTTGGCTGCCTAGCTTCGGTTCCGTTTAGTTTGGTCTTGAGACTCTGTTTGCACGCTGCCTATTGTTGTGGGCTTTATTAATTTAAAGCCGGACGTTTCTGACGTCTATGTTCTAAAAAAAAGATCCGGCAAAACAAACCAATTCCCGTAGGTATGGTGGAAATGGGTCACGGTTTGCAAGATCCCACAAAAAGAAAATTCTGAGACGGTCGAATGTACGGGATCTATTTGGGCCGGCAAATTCGCCTTCGACCTGTAAACCCACGGTTATTTTACCGAATGGCCGGGTTTACAAGATTTGCCAGAGATGCTGTTACCATTGGACGCTGACAGCAGAAAGGCATGTGTGCGAACGAGTGGAAGGATGATGCTGCTGGTGTACGCCTTGTTGTATAGATAGATAAATAAATAAAAGCAACGCCGTTGAAAAACGATGTCGGAGCGAAGGCGCGCCCACCACTCGATATAACGGGAAAAAACCCTTCCATTTTACGACGTCTCGGCAGGCAGCGGCAACAAACCCAACCGGGCGCGCGCGCTCCAGCGGCCGGCCGGACCAGACCCGACCCGCGTCGCGCCACCCGCCAAATCCACCGTCGCTCCGGCAGGCAGGCAGCGGGTCAGGTCAGGTCAGGTGAGCAGGCCAGCCGCAGCCACCACCGTGCCCTCCCTCAGTCCCTCTCCCCTCCCATTCCCCTACCACCGCCCGCTTCCCTGCCTCTGCCACCGCGCCGCGCCGTCCCAGATCCCTACCGCGGCCCTGCCCCGCCGCGGCATTGGCATTCGGCGCCCCGCTCCGTCCGCCCAGCCCAGCCCCGCGCGCGATGCCGGCGGGCTCCTCCTTGTTATTGTTGTTGTTGTTGTAGGAGGAGGAGGAGGAGGGGATCTCTCTCTCTGTTCGTGGTTGAGGAGGAGGGGGAGGAGGAGGCATGCCGGAGGCGGACACGCTGGCCGCGGTGACCGCGGCGGAGGTGGTGTCCCCGCGATCTGGCTACTTCCGGCAGCGGAGCATAAACGCCCCGGATCCGGACCGCAAGGCGTTCGACGTCGAGAACCCGCCGGGAGCCTCCGTGGGCGCCGCCGGAGCCGGGGCAGGAGGCCTGGGGCTCCGGCCCAGCGAGTCCGTCGCCAAGCTGGAGTCGCTGGAGCGGGCGGAGCGCGCCGCCCTGGCGCCCGCGGTCGTGCTCAAGACGGGGTTCTACATCCTCGTCTGGTACACCTTCAGCACCTGCCTCACCCTGTGAGTGCTCTGCTTGCCCCCTTCTTCTCTGTTCCTCCTCCTCCTCCCGCCTCTGGATCTCTAGCTCCTCCTGTGGGAAAATTCAGTGGAGGTTTTGATCTGGTTGCCTCCTTTGTTCTTGTTGGGTAGATACAATAAGACGCTGCTGGGGGACAAGCTGGGCAAGTTCCCGGCGCCGCTGCTGATGAACACTGTGCACTTCGCGCTGCAGGCCGCGCTCTCCAAGATCATCCTGCTCTTCCAGGCCAAGGGGATCGACAGCGCTGTCGAGATGAGCTGGAAGGATTACTTCATGAGAGGTGCCCACCCTCCTGCTCCACGATTCATCTCTCGGTACACTGCAAATTCTGGTTGTTCATGCTTCTGGCCTTGCCTCTCTGCAGTCGTCCCAACCGCTCTGGGAACCGCGCTCGACATAAACCTGAGCAACGCGTCTCTGGTCTTCATCACGGTCACGTTCGCCACTATGGTCTGTCGTCTGCAAAAGTGATTTACTCCACTTACAGTTTCGATTGCATTGCATTCTGAATCGAGTTCAGCTAACTTGATTTCTGAATTCTGACACCTTTGCAGTGTAAATCCGCGTCGCCAATATTCCTTTTGCTATTCGCTTTTGCATTTCGGTGAGTGTTGTAAACTTGTAACTGGATAACTGCTGTACCATGGCTTTCTCGTGCTGCGGTTTTAGCTGGGATGCTCATTCTGGCTCCATTGATTATTGTTTGTTCAGTTTGACAGCTAGTTGTGGAGTTGATTTATCCATATTAGCAGAGCAGGGCATGCATTTTTACTAATTCACATCAACTAGCAACATAACTTTACTCTATGTTATTATTCCTACTTTTGAAGATGATAATTTGAAGAACCCAATGCTGCAACCGATCTGTTTTATCGGTGGGTTAAGCCAGTACAACGCTATTGCTAGTTTGTTCATGCACGACCAACTCTGTGTTGATCGAATCAGTCCTGGATCGAATGTAAAGCATTTAAAAAGCCAGTGTCTTTAGAGAGTAGACATATTACTAATTTGGACGGTGAATAATCATGTCCACACCACTTGATTCTATAACATCCATTTATTTTTCTTATGCAATTGCAACCCAGAGCCTAGAGGGCTAACATCTACAAACTGAGTTTGATTTTATATGGCTCTAAAAGGTGCCTTCTGGTTTACCAGGTTGGAGAGCCCCAGCATCAAGCTTCTAGGAATCATAGTTGTCATTTCCATTGGGGTTCTGTTGACAGGTATGTAGTCTCAGCTTGTTAAATGGATAGAGGTTTATTATGCTAGCTGCTGAGTAAATAGTTTCTTCAGTATCAGCCAGCTTACTACTAAGATTGCATTATTTGTATTTTTGTGGTTTTTGATCTCTGTAATTTTTCCAGTTTGGTTTATAGCCACATCATGTATGGTAGGGTTTCCATTATTTTCCAGTGGCCAAGTACACTACTTACAAGTCTTTTGAAATTCACCTAACTGTGTAATATCCCAACAAATAAAAAACAACACACTACTCATAAACATAGTTGATAAGCCAGTACATGTTTCCAATACTAGCAATTGAATGGAGAACTGGGATGTTCTGGAAATTAGTCTCACCACTGGCGATCATTTTATTTTATCTTAACATTTGGTCAACCAAGTTATTCTGGGGTATTATACATATCAGAGCGCTTAGCACAGTTATTTTAGCGACTTGACTGTCTCGCCAGGTGGAAAGTATTGTTTCTTCTAGGCAGTTTCAATCCAGTACTGAGCTGAAGCTGCTACAGAAAGGATCTGGGGTAGTATTTTTTCGAGCAACCATCTGTGGTTGTATATATTAATTCCAGTTTTGTAGTTGAATGCTTTTCTTGTCTAAGTCACCTCAATTGTTGTCCTCCAGTTTGTAGTCCTTTTTGAATGCTTCAAGAATGCATCTTGGGCTTCATATTTGTGATTTAACAATATTATTTTCATCAGTTGCCAGGGAAACTGCGTTTGACTTCTGGGGCTTCATATTTGTGACGCTTGCTGCTGTTATGTCAGGATTCCGCTGGTCCATGACTCAGATTCTATTGCAAGTACGTGTAATGGCTAATGTTATTCAAATGCCTTGAGAATTATCACCAAACTCCCATCTTTCCTGTTTTCCCTTTTTCTTATACACTTCCTGTGGCTAACGGTTTGTTTTATTTATGTGCATGTGGATATTGATATTTCAAGAAAGATAGTTATGGTATGTTGCTTCACATGCGCACTTCCATGCCTCTTTTTTTTTTCCTTCAGTACTTCTAATGCCCAATAGTTTGAATGCATCTTTTATGCATATCATTAAGGCATTTGCTCTGGGTTTAGCTCCTTTTCTCCAGCTAATATGCTTGGTTCTTGCAATTTTATTTTATCTCCTGAATGAGAAGATAGACTTGAAAAAGTTGGGGCCTTGAAGGTGTTGAATGAGAGCTCGATCCTCTCTTTTCTAGAGCCGTTGCACATTTCTGATCATGGAGATAATCAAATGGTCCAGCAGTTAAAGAACTTGATATAATTGAAACTTAAATTTGGTATAGAATCTGAAGTGTGGGCTTTATGATTTTGATCTTAAGTTCTGAAGTATCAGGAACAGGGCTCCTATTTCATAGGTATTAGTTATAGTTTCTGCTTGATCCATCCTGTTTTCCCTAGTAGCTCTAGCTCCAGATTTTCATCTAGAGGCCAGAGCGTGGATAAATACGGGGCAAATATTATTTAGTAAACTTAGCAATCCTGATTTGGCTACTAGGAGTTCATGAGCTCAATAACCCATCTTCCTTTGGCAGGCCTGAAAGATCCAATCACCCTGATGAGTCATGTTACTCCGGTGATGGCCATAGCCACCATGGTACTATCTCTCCTGTTGGATCCTTGGAGTGATTTTCGAAAGAACACGTATTTCGATAACCCATGGCACGTCATGCGCAGTTTCTTACTTATGCTAATCGGAGGGAGCTTGGCTTTTTTCATGGTAACGATTGTTTATTTGATTACAAAACGAACTTGTCAGAAATATCATAGATGATTGACTGTCATGATATATTATATCAACTGCAGGTTTTAACGGAGTATATACTTGTTTCAGCAACAAGTGCTATAACTGTGACGATAGCTGGGGTAGTAAAGGAAGCTGTAACCATCTTGGTAATATTTGAAATCTATTCTTTCCTAAAAGAGCAATTGTTTTATATTTACTTGCATCTGTCATCTGTGTCGGAATGTAAATCCGCAAACACCTACCAAAGTAGTATCTTTCTATATTAGCTGATATTTATCCGAACACTATTATTAACATGAATGCCACCTCGTTTAAAATAAAATCAGGATGAGGTAAGTGATTAGGCAATTGATAACTCATGAACAGGAAGAACTAAATTCTGAACCACAAAATGGAACTGATCTGTTGTTTGTTCAGAAGTTAAGATTAAGAAGTATCAAAGGAAGAAATTCCCGTCAGTAGCTAATTCATTTTTGGCATACACTAATAGAGGCGAGCTATCAGTAGTCATATGCAAAAGTCCAACAGCATTTCTTGTGTATGCTTCTCTGCTAGAGTGTTGGTTCTAGCATGAAGATGGATACTGCACTTGATATCATAGCCCAAAAGGGAATGTTGTTCTTAGATTCCATATGATCCAGAACCAAAATCTTGTAGTAATTGATGTCTCTTATGAAAAAAAATTTACCTTGTTGTTTCAGGTTGCAGTTTTTTATTTCCATGATGAATTTACTTGGTTGAAAGGGGTTGGTCTTACCACTACTATGGTTGGTGTTAGCTTATTCAACTGGTACAAGTAAGTGACTCTTGATATTAAAGACTTTGTTGCAAGCTTACATATTCTTCTTGGGAATGCAACTGAGCTGAGGCAAGCTGAACCATTGCCATTTGGTCAATGTTACAATACCTATTTATCTCAGAAGTAAATAAGTATTGTTAGATGTCTCTTATGATGTTTGTTTAGGATTAATCATGTTATCATTCAGAACAGCTTAGTTCGGAGACATGAATACTGAAATAATTCGGACTCAAAGTTCATTTGTTTTGACTTGTTGAATAGTATTGGTCCCACATTTTTGTTCTGCCTGCCTAGACCATCATCTTCTACAGTGCTGCCTAACAGTTTATTTAACGAATCATACTGTGCTCCACAAATTGTCAGTCTTTGACTCAACATAAATACTTGTGTGCACACATGCATGGATATAGATATTTACGAAAACATTTTCCATTGTTTAGCCCATGACAATAGTTGAGGTTCAAGTTCACATTCATCTTCAAAATGATTACTTTCTTGATATTGCGGTGGATGGACCAAGGATATGTGGCTTACTACATTGTTCATCTTTTCTTGGTTTCATAATATTTATGGCTGATGACAGGTATGAGAAATTCAAGAAGGGTCAGATAAATGAGGATGGAGTCGATTCACCTTCATTTAGTGGGGATGCCAAATACATTATTCTAGATGACCTGGAAGATGAGGATGGGTTTCTGGATGAAGATACATAATTTTGGAATGTGGCAACATTTTAACTGCCACTTGGTAAGGTTCCCTTTGCATATCTTATAAAACAAGAACTACTTGCATTATTGAGCAGACTTAGGCACACAGATGCCATCCGTGTTTATAAGCCACTGAAGTGACTAGTCCATTTTGTCTCATCAGTGTCCAAGTAACAGTAATTACGTAAACATAATGACTATTCCATAGATTCTTTTTTGTACTAGTCATCAATGCATAAACTGTTCAACCTCCTACTTTTGCAAGTCTTGAAATGATGAAACTGAAAGGTGGAAGAGGGGAAGGGGGACTTTTTTTGGTATTTAAGACCCTGTTCGGAACCTCTCAAATCTCAAAACTCCGCTCCGCGCTGTAGAGGAAATGAGGAGCTCGGTTTGAGCCACTCCCTGAAATTGTGCTGGCGTTCCTTCCACTCCGGGAGCCGCAGTTGTGGACCAAAGAGGATCCGAACAGGTCCTAAAATGCCCATATTATGATGTAGTCTGTGCTAGTAACTAAATGATGAGTGTCAACAGCAAGAAGAAGATGAATGCCAGAGCATGAAAAATAGACCCGCTTCTGTGTTGTATGACGAAGTTTTATGAAGAATTTTTTTGATCAAATACTCGGACTTGCAGAAGAATCTGACAGTCATTTCTGTGTCAAGAATTGCTGCAGCTAGGCTTTTAATGTGACTTCAGTATAATTCCTGACATATCGCAATAATGTTTGCTAAGATTATTCAGCTCTTGCTCTTGCACTTCGCATTTTTGTGCCGTTCCCGTAACAAATGCACTGACGACTTAATCAATCTGATTTTGGCAGGATTGTTGATGCCTTTAGACCATTGATGGCTGCCTGTTGAAATAATACTCATGGAGGTTTTCTACAGAGACATACAAACACACAAGCAATCTGTGTGAGCTTAATCCATCTCACATTGAGGTTGAATGCTTGATTGACTGAATGGCCACCTGGATTGCAGTATATCATACTATGCGCTAACTTCACTGGAACACTTTGAGAGGATCGGCAGGTGGTACAAATCGGCCTGCTTGTTCATAATGGAAGTTACTTAAAACCGACTGATATTAGCTTGTTTTTCCTTTCTCTTCGTGTGAGCGCGAACATGCACATATTCATTATAAAACCTCCACATTTTTGGTGCCTAGGCATAAATCATCCGCTGTGTAGATCAAACTGTAAGAGTGACCACACATACCCCACATGTGCTGCTCCCTTGAAAGCTTAGGGACAGCCTCTGATTATTTGTAATCTGTAAAACTGTGAGTGAAAAAAGGATTGTTCTTCTCTAATGTATCTTGCACCCCTGCAGTTTGTGCTTTAACACTAGTATTCCATAGCTCTTGTTGTCTTGTTGATGGAAGTTAAAGGGGAACTGTTCCAGTCATTCGGTTTCTACAGTAGAGACAGCCACTGTTAAAATTGTATGCTCGAAACCACAACAAAACTTGTAAACCTACCAGATCGCTTGACTATTCTTCAATGAAATTTTGATGGTGCGTTTACAGAGATGAGATGAGTTGTTGTAGTTAAGCACCTTCCTATACGGTACGCAATTAACAATTGAATCAGTTCGTTTGTAACAAATGAGGACAAGTATTCGTACATTATTGAAAGGAGGACTTTGATAAGTGCTACACGTGTGACATGAACACATGGCAACTCCGAACGTTTTTAATGACAAGTTCAGTGATGTGAGGATGGCAACTTTAATTGTCAAGCATGACAACTTTTTTTTCAAATGACAAGTTTCAATTTTCTTTGGGTTGGTTTTTTCTTTTTGGATGGCAACTTTAGTTGTAAAAAACGCCAGAGTCGGAGTGCTTCGTGTCACACGTGTGACACTTATCATTTGGGTTGAAAGAATTGGTCAGTATATATTCACGAACCAATGTGTTGACATGAGGGCGACGACGGCGGGAGGGGTGGATTTTTTTTTCTTGCTCACCAACAATTCTTATACAATCAGTTTCAACTAAAGAAAACAATTCTCATACAATCAAGAGGTCGAGGTAACTAAATCATTGCTACAAGTCCACAAGTAAGTAGCTAGACAATTAGGAGTACGACCATATGATGCTACAAACTAGTAATAATAAAATTTCCAGTGAAGCTAGCTCGTAGTATGACACACAATGAGAATCAAGCATCCCCTCCAGGTTTATGCGGGGCTAAAGACCCGCACGCTCAGGCCATCTCCACTCGACGTGATATCAGCCGTTGGATCTTCCTTAGGAACAATCGGGTTTGTCTGAACTTGGAGCTTGTTGACTGCCAACGCTAGCCCATCCGGTCGTTTCTCCTCTTCTCATCCCGCAGCCGCCACTGGCTGATGCCTTCACTGTGTCTACCAACGTCGAGAGCCGACGCGCCTCTTCTTCTGTATGCCCACCTCGCTCGATCAATTTGCCGAACCCCACGGGGTCCATCTCCTGCCGTCCCTTCCCTCCATGAACGGACCTAGACTCAACACCCTCGGTGGGACGACTGATGGGGGCCTGGTTATGTCATGAATGTATCACAAAATGCATATGTATAATGTACTCCATGAATTTATGTTGTCAACACGTCTCTCTCCCTCTCTCTCTGAAAAACATTTTAGTGTTCACTGGTAAGCTAAAAATTCATTCATGTGAGGGGCCAGGGAAGCAACCGTTTTGTTTTGCTGCTGTTGTTCATCGGCAGAAAAACATTTCGATGTTCATTGATTTGGGTCTGGGAAATTTGTGTCTGCATTTGGAATTCATTTTGCAGTTCTGTGTTTGCAGACTGGCCCAAGGTGTGTGTTTGTTCGAAGAGTGAGTGGTTGGTGTTTGAGTTTATTTTTCTTTTCAAGGAAGAATGATGTACCTTTTGGCCTCTACTAGCAATGTGCCCATGCGTTGCAACGGATCCAAAGTAGAATAATATATTTTCACAAACATAAAGAAAAACACTGTAATTTTGGTAGTTATTCTTCACCCCTCTCTATTTTAGCATCAATGCTCTGTATTTTTACGTTTCATAAATTTTGTCTTATTTCATGCGTAAAAAGAGAAAGTAAAAAAAATATAATCATCGTAAAAAATATTTTTATGTTACGTAATGTTACGAATATTAAAACACAGTGTATAGTATACATAAAATGCAATTTTCGGTCTTATGACCTATATTTCTGTTTTCTTATGCCAAATTTTATGTAATGAAGCAATATAAGTGTAAGTATTTGTATACCAAGTGTAATTTATCGAACGATCGTAAGATTACTTCAGGTCAGGAATAATTTATTCTGCATCCTGGGTGATGAATAATATTTCTAAAAATGTATCCATATTAGGTTTCACTCAAAACATAGTCCTCGTGACTGTTTTGATGAGGTGAAGGAGGGATGTCGTTGATTTCAGGATACTAAGGGGTTTTCTGCAAATTGGAGTAGAAAAATGGGGTCATGTTGCAAAAAGGCACAATTTACCTCACAGTCGTTAGATGCAGATCTAATGGTCAGAAATGACGGATGACAGACACACCATCATCACCAACTGAATCTTTTATAGGAGTAGAGACATCCTAGGATACACACAACCATCATGTTATTAAATAAGGATGATGTAAGACAAAGCAACAGACCAAAATACGTTATAAAACAAAGCATATGAGATGGCTGGGTGAGGTGTGGATGAATTTTTCTTCTGGTTGTTCTTTTCTGAACATTATTTTCTTTCCAGGTGAGTTTGTTGGTGGTTGTGAGGCAAATTTGCTTGGTGTTTTCCTTTGTCTTCGACAGTGGATCAAGCTCAGAACAGATGAATGCCTGGTTGCCAAACACAACTGTAGCGGGCGTGGCAGAGCGTGCTTTACCATCTTGTTTAACTACAATTAATACTCCTCACGTTTGAAGACTGATCAACACATTTTTCTGGAGACGTGGATGTGTGATTGGCTAGCGAAGGATCCGGAGCGGCCGCTAGTGGCATGTGGCGTGGAGGATGGATACATATGCCCGCGAGTATATATAAGAGCATCTTCAACAGCTCCTCTATCTCTAATTAACCACCATTTATGAAAACTTGAGGCAAAAAGTCTCTCAAACAGTCCCATAAAGTGGCCATAACTTTAAAGAATCCCTTAGAATTGGCCCTTTTCTTCCCGTTGGTTTATGGAAGACCATCTTCCCATAAAGTTTTGGCGGGCTAGTAATCGTCTAAAACTTCACTGCCCGCCACCGCTGCGGCACCACGACCGCGACGCTGCCTGCACTGCCCCTCACCAGTAGCCATCCTGCACTCACGCCGCCGCCTAGCGCCACACCTACGATGCTGCCCGCACCACGCCTCGCCGACGGCCGTCCCGTGCTCGTGCCGCCATGCAGCCTTGTGCCGCCCCTCGCCGACAGCAATTGCACCACCCACCTTCACGTGTGTCATGGGCTGGCAGGTCCTAGCCATTATCTATTTTTTTAATTTAAAATAAAAAAGGATTTAGGGGAAGAAGTTTATGGGAACTGACAAAAGTTGGTATGAGGCAAGTTGAAAAAACATGCGGTGCCCCCATGTTTGGTTTTGGTAATTAATGACAATCTCTATGGACTAATGGTTTCCTTGAGTTATATTTGAAGGTTTTGTCCATAGGCTTTTCTTAGAGTACATGTGTTGGTTTTAAGGAGAGTTTGTGTCGACCAAGGTGCTATTCAAGGAATTATCCAAAGATTGATCATTTGAGAGTTGAGCTTATTGCAAGAATGTCTTGAAGAAGAAGATTGTGTGATCATTCATGTTTACCTTCAAGACATCATCCAAACGAAGAGAGTTGGAAAGATTCAAGGTTGATCAAGACTAAGTCAAGAGTGAATCAAGTTGATCAACTCACAAAAAGTAGAAGATGTACCGAGAGGGATCAAGTGATCCCATGGTATGGTAAGCATTGTCCATTGCACTTTTGTGTACTAACCCATGGTCTATGTGAGAGTCTATGTGGGGTTAGGTACGTGTCCATGGGCTTGCGTCAA